ATATGAAATATCTTTGTAAGTATATTAAAACATTAACATAGCATTAACGTTAAAGATTTAAAATTAGTTATCGTTATTATTATCATTATCGTATAATTTTTATGATAGCTAATTTGGATTCCTATTATATTTTTAAGAGCTAGTAAGCATTTATTTTTTTTATCATTAACCTTTTATAATCAAATTGGTTTTAATGAATAATTTTTATTAAAACTCATTGTATATACAGCTATTAAATTATGGAATGATTATTTATGTTGAAAACAAACTTATTTAAAACAATTTTCATTGGGAATTTTTAATATCAATATCATTAATTAATGATAAAATCTTTAATATTTTCAGATCTCATATATAGATTCTTAGTTGTGCTAATTATTTGAGTTTTTATTTTTTATTTTTATCGTTATCATTATAAATTAGAAATTTTAATCTCAATTACCATAGCGATAGAAATGGGCCAGAATTTAGGTTATTTTGATGTGACGATCAATTTTGATTAATTTAGTTTGTAATACTATGAACGTGAATTTAAACATTAAATACATTTGAATAAGGCGTAACTTCGTTCTCCTTTAACATTAACATTAACAATTTAATGATATCGATATTTTTTTTTAAAAAAATTTTTGTTAACATAACTTTTCTTATATTTCATATCATAATCTTTATCGTTATATTTTAAGTTATCTTTTATAACAAGCAATATAAGTAGCTATTGCTTTTAATGTTAAACGATATTCATTGAAACTTTAATTTTTTTATCATGTCTTTTGAAGATGAAAATATGGGCTTTTGGAAAAATGGTTGCTTTAATGATTATATTAGCAATGAGTTAGAATGCGATGATCCTGATAAAGATTACATATTGCTTGAAAATGATGATTATAGTATTACAACTGATAATACAAGCGAAATTCCATCAACACCTGTAACAACCATCAATGATGATAATTGTATTCATGAATTTTTATTTGATTATAAAGCATTACAAAATGCTAAAGAAAAAATTAGTTTAGATGAATATAATGATAATGATATAACGTGAGAAGATATGGATTTAGTTGAAAAAGATTCTGTTTCAACAATGGCTGGCTCTAATACAGATAAAGACTATCGAATAGATGATACTGATATAGAAAATAAAAACCTTATACTATGTGTTTTAGTAGATGTATATAATGGAAAAGTGAAACGTTGTCTGAATTATGAAAAACTAGGACATGCTCTCCGTCCCCTTCATCAATTAATAGGAACATGAAAAATTGATGAAGCTGTAATTAACCAAACAAATCCTGAAAATATGCTACATACTTTAGGTGTTTGCATAGCACATTTATCTTTTGATCAAAATAGATTACATAAAAAAATTCCAAACAATTACGATCAATAGATGAAGGTTACATTTGTCGACGTTGTTGTCTTTTTTGTCATAAAGACAAATATTTTTTTAGTTGTGGTAAGAATTGTGCTAAACATTTAATAAATATCAATAATCGAAATGTACAAGTGCCTTGTGTGGGACTTCAAGTCTGTTCAAGTTTCAAAAATGATAGAGTTATTAAAGAAGTTATTGCTAATACAAATGAAAAAGCATGCTATATATGTTCAGAATGTTTTCAAACGGAAGGGAACATTTTTTTGAACGAACAGGAAGTGGATTAAAAGCTTTTTCATGTCACAAATATTATAATAATGATACTACAAATGCATTAAAACTATTAGGACGATGGATCTTAGATGTAGCTAATTCAAATAATGATAATGATAGAATAAAAGATAGTTTGTTAATAGAAATTAGTACAATACTTGGTAAAATTTTTAAAAATGTAAAATAAAATGAAAATGATAATAATAGTGATAATAGTATTAATGTTAATGAATCACCTCTGAGTTTATTTTTAGTTAAAACAATATTACGAATAGGAAAAGTAAATATTAGGAAGTTAAAGGATGAATATTCAATTAGTAATCTATTAAATGAAAATCCAAAAAAAGTAGGAGAAGTTTTTGGATTGTGTATTTGGAAATTACGTTCTGAAGTTCGCGAAAAAAAACAAAATCTTGAAATTCCACACTCACTTGAAGAATATCAATGTGGATCCTAAAATTTTGAAAGATTTTTTTAATGGATTTATAACTTTATTGCAAAGAAAAAAGTTTGAAATTGCAGAAAAAAAATGTAAATAACGAGGATTATTAGCAAAAAATTTTAATGAAACGCATTTGAACAAAATATCAATTTTTATTATTTCTATGATTTTGTCAATTGCATTTCCAGGCATTGATGTGTAGCTTACTCATATTATGAGTTCATTATGTCGAAAACCAAATTTATTAAGCTTATTATATACAATTCTATGTACTGCAAGTGTGGTTTTACATACACAACGTCATGAAAAGAGATTAGAAAAAATAGAATTGATAAAATCAAACTGAAAGAAAGATTAATACAAGGAGAAAATATATGGAACATCTGTGTTATAGATAATATAGATTTTAAAGAAAGGACTTTCGCTTATGGAAATATTTATGATATCACTCGAAACACAGCACATGCAACCTTACGAATGGTCTTTCAATTTAATTTACCAATTTTAATTCATGAAATTATAGTTAATGCAAGTTTTAAAGAAAAGCAATCATTTAAAGTTAGTTCTTCCTAATTTACAGATAATGAAATCCGAAGTTTTGAAAATAAAATATATTTTCTTTTACAAACTTTGGAAACAGATTTTGATTTACAGTCAGTTTATAAAGAATTGATTAAAGAAGTTGATTTAGAATGTAGAGTTTTATCACCTAATGTAGTTATACTAAAGCCTAGCGAAAATTCTTGTAATAACGAAGCGGTTCATAATGCATGTAATATGTATTTTCAAGATGTTGCTCCAAAAAATGGCAATAATAAAAATATAGATGTAGCATGTGATGAAGCTATTTTTCGTCATTTAATACCTTATTCTGAGCAAAAACCTGAAATAAGACTTATGCTTGACGCATGGCATACAAGTAAAGAAATGTGTAATACACTTATTACCATTTTTTCAGGTTATGGAATCTTTAATATGGCTGCTTATATTGGTGTCCATTACTTGGATAAATTGGCAAAAGTCGTTAACTATCAAGCAACATGTTGTGTCTTAGAATTAATATGGGTTGCAATAGGAATTTCTTTAAATAAAGTTATGAGAAATAAAAGTAAAACATTTGATGATATTAAAAATGAAAATAATACTATAATGAAAGTTTGGTACTTATATTTTTGTTGAGGTGGTCACAAAATTAGAATTTGATATGAATATTATCAAATGTAATTTGAAAATTTAGCTGCATTTGCACCACTTTTTTCAATCGCGGGAAAAAGTAATTACGCAAGATCTGTCACTCATTTTCTTCATAATATTTTTAAGGATCCATTACTTCAATCATTACTACAGTATATTTGTTCTATAAATCTTACTAGTCCCGGTCATTTTTTTGCCTTTGACGAAGCATTAGAAAGATTTGGAGTAAAATATATAAAGCAGAATATAGGAAAAAATCCAGGAAATAGTGAAGATCTAAAACAAAGAATAAGTTCTATTCAATCTGAACGAGAAAGGTTAGATATACTTTTAGATGAATATGTTAGAGAGGAAATTTTTATTTGAAATGATCATGCTATTAAATCACGTAAAGAGGCTCTTTGGAATTTGGTTAATTAGCTTACTAATGCATTTAATCTTACAAATACTTCAAGTCATGAAATATTTAAAGATACAACTGAAAACAATACAAATGGATTTGAAAATATATTTACCTGTTATGAAAAAGGAATTGAACAGCTTAAAAATATTCACGCGCAAGAGATTGAAAAAAGTATTCCTCATAATACAAAAGGATGTCATATGAAAAATATAAAAACAATTACAATTGAGCAACGTAAAAAAATAGAAAAAGATTATCTTGAATATGAAAAAGTAATTAAAAAGAATGACAAAATATCACAGCAGCAAAATATTAAAGCAAAAATAGCTGATATAAATGGACAAAATCAGATTAATATATACAAAGAAGAAATAAAGGTAATATCAAAAAGTTTATCATTATAAAAATAAAAAGCAGATAGTAATAGTGATAGTAACAGTAATATAATATTGATCTATAACGATAATAATAACGATAATAATAAAATTTTTATTTTATTTTTTAAAAAGGTTTCAAAATCAATAATAAACGAAAATACAGATCTTTAACTAGTTCTGAACAAATAATTTTTATTAGATTACAACAAAATTCTAAATTATCAATAAAAGAAACAAAAGAAGTATTTTTAGAAATTTGTTCCTTATCTGATAGCAAACCTGAAGAATGTGATCTAAAAAGAATTCGAGATATTTGGTTAAGATATAAAAGACAAATTAAAAGACAAAAGTGATAATGTATTAATAATAACGCTAATCTAAACTTACTTTTGAATATCAATATGAATTTTATGTGTTTTTTGTGTATTTTATAATAATAAAAATGGTTATTGAAAAAGGATCTTACACACATTGCTTGTTTTATTACATATTAAAAATATCTTATAAAGTATAAAATATGATATAAAGAAAACCTAAATTTTAGAATAATAAAAAGACAGAGACTTAATAAACAAGTAGAGTAAATTTTTTAAAGTTATTTTATTTAAAAAAATGAACGCGTTTTAATCATTTAAAATTGTAATCATGTGATCTTAAATTTTATTTCTATATAATTGCAGATCAAAAAGGATATGTCCAGTGACCGATATTATTAAAAAAGCAATAAATAATAAATTAGTATAATATTAGTATTTAATGATTAAAAAATATTTTAAAATAAAATTTATTAGACTTAATGTTATTTCTATTATTGAATATTATAATATTTGAAAAGTAGAAGATATAAGTAACAAATAAATATATAAAAATTATTTATAAAAAGTTTTGAAAAATTAGATTAACAAAATATATAAATATATAGATTTATTACAAATTTAATATCAAAAAATGTAAGAATAAGATAATTCAATTATTTATTAATATTAAATTATTATAATATGTTAATATAACTAGTTTAATATAATTAATTAGAAAATAATTGTATCTAAATATCTAAAATTTTATTTTATTTTATTTTATATATTAAATGAATTTATATATAAAAGATGTATATTCAGTAAGCAGAAAGTTATCAGAAATACAAAAAAAATAGCTTAGTTATAGGGTTAGGTGAGTAAAATTTGAAAGTGTATAATATACTTTTTAGGGGAATTAAAATGCTAACAAAAAAACTAAATAATTATTATTTCGAGTAAAATAGCCTAAAAAAAATAATAAAAAGATTAAAAAAATATAAAGTTTTTAGAGACTAAATATCTATATGAATATGTAAATAAGAAGACTGTAGTTGACTTAATACAAGAAATAGCTTTCTCGCTAAATATCAAAAATTGTCAAAAAGCAAGAAGTCTAAAAAGGGTGAGATTAATCTTGCTACTGTAGATTTCTACGAGTCTAGTTCATTTGAATCTTTCAAAGATTCTGATTCAGTTAAGATAATTATAGTAAAAGAATGAAAAGCTATTCTTTATAACTAATAAAAGAAGATATAACCAAAGAAAGTTAAGATTCTTTAATCAGGATAAAAGCTTTTCAATATTTTATATTAAAATTCTGAAAAAATCACTAAATAATTAAATAATCTTCTGCAGTACTAAAGGTATAGGAATATTGAATTTGAATTTTTTTAAAATAAAGATATACTATAATAAACAATTAATATATTATGAAAAATGAAAGTCACTTTGAAGAATAAAGATGATAATTAAGTTATTAGGACTTAAAAATAAATATAATATATCTTATTCTCTTTTTTTTCAGTTATATACCACATATTCTAATGAGTTTTTCACTTTATGAACTTTACAAGTTTTGCAAAAATAATATATGAAGAGAAGAAGTAAGTCTTAAATTATTCAGAAGAACTAATAGAATTCTTGAATACCAGTTCATTCAGAGATTATCACCTGACTATCAAAAATATACCATATTATATTGGTCAAAACTTATGTTAGATGGTCTCTTTGAGACAGATTCTTTAGTGAAAAGATTAAATACTTATGAAGTACTACTCAAAAGTAAGATCTAACACTTCTAATCTGGGTCAGTAAATATCAACTAAGAATATTATATTTCACATTTTTTTTATTTTAAGATATAACATATAATACAGATTATTTATGACACATTAACAAATTTTTATTATACTAGAACTATTAGAACAGATTTTACATTTTTTAGCAATAGATAAATCCCTCTATTCTATTCTATTTATTAGTTAACTATAATATAGATGTGGTATTCTTATTCTGTAAAAATGTATTGAACTAAAAAGTGAGCACTCTCAAATGAAAAAATTTATAAAAATAGTGTGAAAGGAATAGAAGCCAGTTTATTGTTTGAATGTAACTTATCTAGAAATTTTAACTTTTAGATAAAAATTCTAAAGTATTACAGGTGTGTTCTCAAATATAGTTCATTTAGATTTTAATTATAGTATAGGATTTAGTGATAAGATACTAAAATGAATAATAAAATTATATCCTAATTTGAAGTATCTCAATTTGCAAAAGGATAAGGGTAGAGACTGTAATACTATAATAATAACTGATATTAGTCTATTGATAGTCATACTAAGATATTATAGATTAGAATATCTTAATATCTCTAACTATACAGTGATTACTGAGATAACTATCAATACAATTGCTAGTTCATACCTTAGTTTAAAATATCTCGATGTTATAATATTAGTAAAGAAGCTATATATTAACTTATTCCAAATGTTTATATCACCTTATTATATTAGCATAATTGATAAATATTTTAGTTAATACAATATTTATGAATTAACTGAATTAAAACAAAAAATAAGATGTTGTAATCTTGCTAATAATCTGAATTCAGTCACTTCTCTGACTTGAGAAATTTTTTCTGCCTTAGTATCAAAAGCTTTTAATAACTTACTAGCTAATTAAACTGAATACAGTTAACTCTTGATATAGCGAACTCTTTATATAACGAATTTTTTTAAACAAATATAATAAAAATACTCTTGTTATAATGAATTAGCTAATCAAATCTCTTAAAATCTTCACTATAGCCTTATAGCAAAGTTGAGGTCTAGGATATAGAGTTTATTATAACAAGAGTTGACTATAATGATATACATTTCAGGATACTAAATTGTTCCTTAACACCTGTAGATATGCTTATTTTTTGCTAGATTTTATCACATATACCTTGTACACTTACCTAGCAAAAATGACCGACTTTACCAAAATTGGAATAATAATACATACATTAGCATCATAAGAAAAAATTTTTTTTATTAATTAAATTGACTTTGGTATTATAAGTAAACTTGTACATCGTAATGAATTGTATCTTTCT